GGATTTCCTCTATTCCTGTGTGCATTTCTCATGGAGTAACACCATTGTTTATAAATCTTATGCTCCATTTCCCACTGTGATCTTATCAAGTTTCAGGCGGGAGGGAAAGGAAGCAGTCACAAGCAGCAGAGTAGCACCGCCCGAGCAATACAACCTCATTTTGAAAAATATCCTGGCTCCCAGTAGGGTTTTGGCTATTGATAGCATTGTATAACAAGCTGCAAGAGGTGATTGTGGAGACTTTTAAATACAACTTTGCTTCTAAAGTACCAGGAGCCTTCTTACTCACTTTTCCTGAACATCCATCAACGCACAATGCTGCTTGTATCGACATTCCTGGAAAATGTGGTTTGTGCCTGTGCTAGAGTTTTGTTTCAGCACGAAACTGGAGCGTGGAGTGCCGAGATGGAAGTGGTGAGCAAGAATAACATCATGGCTGAGCTGTTCAGTCTGAAAGATGCCTCGTTGAATCACAGCTCTAGAGAACTTCTGGACTGTTCTGCGTGCAGTTCTTCAGCTTGCGTTGTGAGGCTTCCTGTGATAAAATTTAGGAAGAGCAAGACTTAGCAGGATTTTGTTTTCAAAATAAGAGGAGATGAAGAAGCAGAAAATTAAAGTTGTTTTCCAAACTTAAACTAAAATTTTATTTGAAGTCCACAGTTTCCACAGAAGCCCCCTCATCTCAGAAGGTTTAGTTTTGTCAGATGTATTTTTGGCAGGAGGCGTCATGCTAACCATGGCTGTTACCTCTACTACCAAACAAAAGAGTATGCCTCTCTGCAATCTGGAGTGTTGATGTTGTTACTGGGCTTATGATGCAGGTGTGTATGTACAGCCTTGCATTCTTGTTCCTTCTAAAGATATAAACGTGTTACAATTTCCTATTTGATTCACTACAATGAAATGCAGATGTTTGTTCTGTTGTTACCAGCTCTCTTTCCAGGGTAGATGTAAGGAATTATTTTTTTTCATTTATTTATTAATATAGCACTTTATTTTTGCTTTCTTAACAATTTTAAGAGCAACTAATGAGAATCTGTTTTGCTGGACATGGTAGCTGCTGGTAGGCTCTGGTTTGGAGAGACGGATTTTAATTTATGCTTAGCCAGTTGGAAAATTTAATCTGCCTCTGAGAAGCAAAATAATTTACTTTTCTATTAAGTTAAGGAGGCTTTTTTTGGAGCCAGAAGTGGTTTTGGGTACTCTTTATGGATACATCCATACTACTAAATAACAGAGAGCCAAGGACTGATTGTCGGGTGTGAGGCCAAGGAGCACGGGCTGGCTCGTGTCCTCCTGCTCCCTCTGAAGCAGACTGGCTGCATATACACTAAACAGTGCTTGGCCTTGGGTCTCCACTGGGCCCCATGAGGGAGAGATTTTGGCCATAAAACATGATTATTATGTTGTCTGCGTTTTCCCAGATCCACTTGTCTGAAGGGAAATGAATTAAGTGCCGCAGCCCACGACAGCGGTGTTTTTTTCACATGATCCTGGCGGTGTGTTTTGCTGATGGTTAACACGAGGGCATGTGAGGTTGCAAAGCCACCCGGGACAGTGCTGGAGAACTTGTAGGGCAAAGGGAGCCAAGCATGGTGCGGTCTGGTTGAGACAGTCTAATAGTCGATTTAGGGAAGAGTCCTGCCATGACCTGGGCCCAGCATGCATGCCCAAGCCTTGTTCTGCAGACAGCTGGTGGGGAAGGTCCAGGGCAGAGCCAGAAATGAGGGGGCTGTTGGTAGCAAAGCCATGTTATATAGTCAGGGTTTAGCGCTCGACCTTCTCCCCATCCTCTTAATTTAGGACGCCAATATATTCTGTATGCAAAGCACTTTCCAGGGGAGTTCACCTTGCTGCACCCCTTGCTGCAGCTGCTGCCCACGTTATGCGACCTATGATAGAAACAACGTGCCACAAGAGTAGGGTTAAAACCTTCTAGATACCATTTCCCACTCCTGTTCGAACTGATGCTGAAACGGGTGCAATGTAGCTGAACGCTGCTGTAAGGAATAACTAAGCTGTGTAAGGAAATCTATTATTTTTGCAGATATTGTGGCTTCGGCTTTGTCTCCATCATCTGAGAAGGCAATTCCTGGCATTCTAATAAAACTATGGATTTAATTTTAATTACTGACAACTGCAGCTTGGGTTGCTATGGGAACACAAAGAACTGCCACTTGCACAAGTTTCGCCTGTAACTTGCTGCCTGGAAATGTCATACGGGGTCTGATTCCTCTCTCCCGTTTAGCAGCAGCAAAACAGGAATGGCCGCTGCATCAGTCCAGTTTAAACAATGCACAGACAGTGTAAGAGAGGAAATTCTCCATCTTTATCTTATCTGTGCCATTTCTCTGTAATTCTCAAGTAAAATCGGTGTGTTCCCAGTTTCCTAATGACTTCAAAAACAGTCCCCAGTCAGCTGATGAAGGAAACTAGAGCACAAAATCATTGATAGTAGAGTTGAAAAGCAGCTATTAGGTCATGCAGTCCCCATGCAAAATTGTTCCTATGCTATTTTTTCCTACTACATTTCACTGTCTAATTATAAATGCAGCTGCGTTTGTAATAAAATCTCCTTCAGCTTTAGTTTCAGGGCCAGAATATTTTACCTAGGGCATGAGTTGTTAGACAAAGGAGTTTGTACAAATGTTCCATTCTGATCTCCCTTTTCAGTTTGCTGCTGCTTTCTTAGGCTGAATTTTTAATTTTTTACTCCCTGTCTTTTTTCTAGGAGTTAATAACTTTGGAAAGCTGAACCTGACTGGTTCATCTTCCTAAAAGCTATAAAATAGGCTCACTTATTTTCTGCACCAAGTTCACTAAATAGCATTGTTGAACTGAGTTCTGGAGTTACTGCTGTTAATTTATTGAAATTAGTGGAGTTACACTCATTAACACCAGGTATTCCTTTGGCTCTTTATTTATTCATTACTGTTAAAAGTTATGCAAATTATCTAAGTTACCGGAGGTCCTAAAGGAGCTGGACTCTCCTCACATGACTCAAAGATCTCTTTATTACTCTTTGCATAGCAGGTCTGTGAAAAGCAAATACTGATGTACTTTTATAAAAGGATGGTGAGAAGGATCAGAGTTGTGTCTTCAGCCTCCTCATGATAAAAGCTTTACAGATTTCTACCATGTCTATAATTTTTCATCACTGTACTGTGGTGCTTGAGCACAATTCCCACTGATTTCAGCTGATTGTCCCATTTTTGATAGCCAAGAGCAAGCTTTCTCTCATACTGGCCTAAATAACCATGTGTGAATTGCGCTTGTTACTTATTTCTGCACAGAAGGGTAGACCTGGTCTTACATCACCAGTACAGCTTTTGACATGGTCTCGTGAACCATTTTGAGATGCAGTTAGTTCCACTTCCACTGAGGTTTGAAAGGTCTCTCTGAGCAAAACAATGTTTGGTGGCACTGCATAACGTGACAGCAAAGCAGTCTCAAGATGAGGGAAACAGCACAGATCATTAGCCCTCCACAGCATGGTAATTTCAGGGTTGTATGCATTTTACAGTCTTTAATCCCTGCCTGGTCTGGGACAACAAGCAGGTAGCTGGAGAATGAGGTAGAGAATTAATCTTGATTTTTATAAGCCTGTAATTATTTTATTCTTTTTTATTGCTACTGTCTGATTATCTTATAAGAATCACAGTCATGCTGGGTTCACAGAGCCTCGCTTGGCAAAACTGAATCCTGAGCTCAGGGGAGCTGTGTAGTGAGCATCTGGCAGGCGTGGGAAGATGTGAGGAAGACCAGTGCTGGTGGGATCACTTAATCCCACCTCACAGCCAGCTTCTAGTGCCATTTCACAACATACATGCAATTGGTCCCATGTCTGGACACCTATGGTTGTATTCAGTCACCAGAAAATAGTCGTAGCTGAAAATGCCCTGGAGTATCCTGCCTGGCCTCCAGCTGCCTCTCCTGCTGGGCACGGGTCTTCCATAGGTCCTGAGTCAGATCTGCCGCCTTATTGACATGAAATACCTTTCCTTAAGTGTTACCATGAGTTATCACGACAGGCAATATCTGCCTGGGGAGGTGCTCAGCGCTCAACTGATGAGGCCCTGGGCAGCTTTCTGCGGTGGTCGCCGCTCTGAGCAGGAGGCCTGGAGTAGGTGACCTCCAGAGGCCCCTCCAGCATGGGGCATTTTATGATTCACTGACTTCAACAGAGTGAAGCTTGCAGCGGACCTAAGGCCATGGTTCGGTCGATCAAACATACATTTTGGATGGCACTCTACCCTGGGGTAGGCCGAGTGCTTCTCAGAGCTCTCCTGTCAGCACATGTGTCATCTCTGCTGACTGTCATGGGTACCAAGGACTCCTCGGCACCTCACCCACCAGCTGCATTCAGAAAAAATCCTCCATGGCTGGCTGCCATGGGCGGCCCTAGAAAGGCCCCAGGGTCTGCCACGTTTGTTCTGTAAGGGTGAGGGAGCTCTGCAAGGGGTTGGTCCCTGTCTGCTGTGAAGTTCATGCTGTCCCCAGACCTTTGGAGACATGGTTGACACGAGATATGTACGTGCAGAGGGAGAAAGAGGGTCGGGAGGACTGAGCATGGTTGTGTTCTGCACCTCCATGGGTGTAGGCCCCTAGGCACGCCAGATAGGAGGGCTGCTTACTCCTCCCCGGCTGGCTCCCCGTTTTCTTTACACTTGGCAGTTTCCCAAGGAGTGGTGGCGTGATTCAGCCGTGAGCAATGGGTCATTGGCTCAGATGAAAAAACTCTTTTGCTCTCGCTGAAAACGTCGCCCACGCAGTTGTACAGCAGCTCAGAGCCACCCGCATCCCTCCTGCCGTGCCCAGGCAGCCTGGAGGGAGCCCACCCCCTCTCCTCTTCCTCCAGGCTTGCTCTGCTCAGCTCTGCCTCTCTTCCTGCTGCTCGTGTGCCTCCTCCCCACCCTACAGAGTGAGAGAGCTCAAATAGGTGCTTGTTGAGGATCCTGCTCATGCCCTTCCCTCTGAGGCTCTGTCAGGTGAAGCCCTTGCCCCTACAAACCACTTCCAACCACTTTCCCATGTCTGGTCCCTCCAAATTGGGCTCAGCTGTCTGTGCAGCTGAACCTAATAGCCTAAACAAAACCTAGGTCTGCCTTCATCTTGTTCACCTCTTACTAAGCTGCTAGACTTGAGAGCATGCTCACCTCAGACTCCAGGGGGACAAAGGGAGAAGAAGGCATGTGTAGGCTTAATCCTGATCCCAGAGTAGGGTACCTGAAAAAGGTAAGAGCAGGGTCCTATCGTAAAACCTTTCTCCGTTCCTTTATTATATTCCGGCTCATCTTTTGGATGTAAAATTAGTGAATGTATAACTGATGTTCTGGGCAGATGCTTTTAGGTCTCTGGCATATTTGCGACCAGGAAAGTGACATGGGTATGAGTTCAAGGGGGACAGAAGCAGGGCCACAGGGTTTCCTCAAAGCAGAGAGAACAATTCTCCTTTTATGTTTTACAATGTGTACTACTATGAACTGGAGGTGCAGGTGTTTAGGGGAATGAAAGAAAATTAATTGAAGCTCAGTTATATTCAGAACTTTCCTCCAGTTTGTCAAATTAGGCAGAAAGTTTTAATAAATGAAAGAAGTGGGTCTGACACATCCCTACTGCTACAGCCAGAGAATTGATAAAGAGCACAGACTGTGTGGTAACTTCTGTGGAAAACCTTCAAACGGCTGACAACTCACATCTGAGCTGATGAATGACTCAAAGAAGAGCTTAGCTTTTGATCTTGCCGCTGTCACCCACGAGGAATCTGATTTCAGATGTGTGTCCTTTGTGATGAAGCAACCTGCAGTGTGCTCCAGCTCTGCACCATTGGGGCTGTGAGCACATCTCCCTGCCGAGCCATTCTGCCTTTCGAGGGAACTTGCATGCACTATGGGGTGGGATTTGGGCAAATCCACCTTTGCCTTGCCTGCATGCTGTGCTTCTGCCCGAGGACCTGTTTGGCACAGGCCTGGGGAGCCAGGGGTGAGAGAATGAGCTGCTGAGCACTGCCCTTAGTCAGTCAGGTCATTATGGCTGGAAAGGCTCCCTCAGCTTTGCTCTCTGTAGCTCAGGGGGATACAAGCTGCCTGTTGGCTTCTCTTCTTCAGGGCATCTCTTTTTCCCTGGATAATATCTGCACTACCACTGTTTCTTTCCACTTGGTTATAGGACAGCTTGGTGGTGAAAAGGCACTGTGAAGGACCTGGATATGGTTGACCTCCCTGTGCTTCTTGAAGCGGTTTCCGTGGGTAGACTGGCTGCTCCCCTCCTCTGGAAAGGCAAGTGATATCTTCTCCTACATCAATGTCTTTGGGTTTCTGAGCACCCCTGTGGGCACACTTGAGACAAAACCCATTATTGACTATTCCTTGACTATCTTTTAGTAGAATCACAGAATGGTTTTGGTTGGAAGGGACCCCAAATATCGCACAGTTCCAACCCCCTGCCATGGGCAGGCACGCCTCCCGCCAGACCAGGTTGCTCAAAGACCCATCCAACCTGGCCTTCAACACTTCCAGGGAAAACAGTTCCAGCATCTGTCCCTTGTAGTACAGAATTTCTTCTAAATGTTGTAAATTTATATGGTCCTTACACAGTGGGAGATCAAAAGCTACTGTGACAGCTACTATGCTACTTGTACTATCTGGGTTGGTTGTTGTGAGGATTGTGGGGTGATAGAGGTGCACTTCTACCTGCAGCTCCAGATGTATTTTTTCAAGCATAATAAGCTGCACAGCTGTAGCTTTTTCCCTCCCTTAGTTTTGCTGTTTTCTAGACTCTTGTACAAATTGTTTGTTCCAGGCCTGTTTAAGGGGAAGGTTCCAAACTAAACCAAGCTGCTTTTGCCTGGATGTTTTTTGTATGGCTGCTATTTCCACTCAGCCTGGTTTGTTTCTAGATAAAACTTAGAGTCAAATCTTGCACTGCTCTCCCTTGTGTCGTTACAAAGCCAGCCAATTTTTTTCAAGTGACCACAAAGATGGTGAGAAGCAGGTTAAGCATTTTAGTACTTCCAAAAGAAAGATCAGCAAAGGAAGTTCATAATGAAATACTAATTAGCACATGTTCTTTTGCTAATCAAGTACTTTCATTGCAAAGCCCTTAAAGCAAACAAGTTTAAAATGTTCCCTTAAGTGAAGAGGTCGACTGTAAGATTATTCAGCTGCTATGTTTGCAAGCAAAACACGATCCTTACTTCTAAAAGTGGAGGGGAAAAAAATCCTGAGCAATTTCCCAGTCTGATTAAAAAAAAAAAAAAGAGAAAATCACAGCTTTTGAAATTGTGGAGGATTTTTCGGAGGAAGACTTCAAGGCAGCCTTAGAATAAATAACAGCTGCCTGCAACAAAGGGCGTGTGATCCACAGTGACAGGACTGGGTCATGAGTTGCACTGAGTTGTGCCACGTAACTGCGTCTCAGTGGACTGGGCTACGCTAGCAGTGGAAAATTGAGTGGGATGCAATTTGGTGTGCTTCAACTGCTTCAAGCCTGGTTCCACAGCTTTGTTATTCTTAGAGCTGACTCCCCAGGCTGCCTGCACCACCTCTGGTGGCCAAAATTTTTGCCCTTGAATGAAGGGCAGAAGAATTGTCTGTTGAAGAACAAAGCAAAGAGGGCAGGGCAGAGACAGAGGACAGAGTCCAGATGCTGCAAGTACCTGGTGCTGTAGGATGCCTGTGGCCTGTTATTTTCCCAGAGGGGTTCTTCATTTGGGACCAGGGTGGCCTGAGGGTTTAAGGGCCTCATCTGGAACAGATGAGAAGAAAGGGGCCGCTATGTAGGAGTTTGGGGGCTGGTATGTGCAGTTTGGAGAGTACTGCTTCTCCAGGTGCCAATGTGCTGAGCAGAGGTTTCATCCACTTGCTTGGACACTGAGGGCTTGGTGTGCCCTTTCCTGATACCTTCCACAGCTTTGCAGCAGAGATCTAAGATGCCCTTAAACGAGATACACCAGTGCCCCTCGCTGCCATGGGCAGCAGAAGGAGCAGCACAGCACTGTAAAATTCCCTTCTTTTACATAAGCTGAGAAGAGGAGAGATGGAAACACAGGGCCATGGCCATTTTCCTTCCGTCCCAGCTGGAGAGGGTCTCCTCCAGGGAGGTGTCATCACTGCCTCCACCTCCTCGCTGCAGCCCATCCAATGTACCAGAGCACTGCCACAGTACATATTAGCCAATGTCATGCTGTTGTCATACATCAGAGATTCTTCTCTCTTCGGGTCTTGTATTTGCAGATTCTCAGTGTGTTTCATGGTACGTTTTGTGCCCATTGCCTTGCAGAGATGACTCATGTGGTGGAACGTCATGTTTCTCAGTGAGTGATGGCAGTAACTGAATAATCTCAGTGCCTCTGAATGCCAATTTTTTCTCAAACCAGTTTCTGTATTGTGTGTAGCTTCCAAGTAGATTGTAATCTGAGTGTTTTTTTCTTAATTCATGCTTGAAGTTCTTAAATCCAGACTCTGAAAAAGATGGAGTCATGGCATGTTTTAAAAATTCAGCTTCAGTTACTGTTTTTGTTTTGCCTGTTTTCTAATTTCTTCCTGGAAGTTAAAGCATTTCAGATACGTTTGAGTGATGATTTATTTAGTAATAGCTCGTCCTTATATTTAAAATGCCACGTGTGACTTTCAGGATGCTATGTAAAACCCAATATGTTCTAAAATTGCTTTTCATGGGTAAGACGTCTTTCTTGTTTTCTTACTTTTTTCCTCCTGTGGGGGCTATTCAATGCATTTTTTCTTTCCAGGGTTTATACGGTGCTCCAGAAATTCACAAAGGAAGAAGATGTCCACATTTCATAAGATTTTATCATCTAATTCTGTACCAGTGAATACTACTCAAAAACAGGTGTCAAGTAGCAAGGGAGATGAATGCAAGTTAGAGTGCGGCATAAGGAGAATATCTCTCTCACAGTTGTACTTAACAGTTTTGAAACCTTCAGCCCATCATTTCACATCTCTGAACTAATGAGAAACTTCTAAATTGAATTTGTACAAAGCAAATCCACCGAGTCAGTGACTTTAATATATCTTGAGTGGCCTGTTGGGAGAGCAGCTGGAGAGGCAGACGGCAGTCTGAGGGGTATTGCACCATTTACCTTCAACATCCAACTGCCAGTGCCTGGGCAAGGCACGGGATTTTGCCTGTGTGTAACATACAGCATGTGGAAAGAAACAGCCTTCTCTAGGGAGTGATGTGAAGTAGGGGCTGAGCTTCTACCCTGCAGTGTCCTGTATTTGCAACAGAGAGAATGCCAGAGGAAGATGCACTGACCCTATAGCTACCCTACAGACACCTCTGCTGTCTTTTACCCCCTTGTGTTGTCCTTTTTCTTGAGGAACGCTGCCTTGTTCAGGCTCTGCAGGTGGAAGGGACTCTGTATGTTCAGGCTTATGCTTATTTACTTTATTTCTGTATCCTTTCTGAGCACGCTCTGAAGTTGTAGCCATTACTTCCATTCTGAACCCAAGTGAGACTTGTGTTTTAGTAAAACGCACCATTTTAGATGGGACATCACAAAAGGAGAATTTACAGTAATCTGCTCTCATGTTTCATTACTCAGCGTGAAATTTATGTACCTGGTTTCCTTATTTTAAGGCATTTGCTTTTAGCTTCCCACCACTGGTACTTAAGTTTTTCTCTGCTTGTTACACTTCTCTCATCTTTCCTTCCTCTCTTTCATGTTCCTTAATTTCTTCTAAAATTGTTCATCCAATTTTTCCCCTTTCTTGCTTTTTGTTGGGTAAGAGCAATCACAAATCAGCATCAAACAGCTGTATGAGTTCCAGCAACTGTTTTTTATCTCTGGAGATTTTAAACATTGTCAGAATATCCTGATAATATGCTGATTGAAATTCCCCTCTGAAGTCTCAATTTTATACATACCGTTGTTTCCCTTGTACCTCTTTGCAGACAGATCCTTAGTGATGTTTTTGTTTAACCCCTGGAGAAGACACAAAATGGAAAACAAGCAAGTAACAAGCATTTCCAAATCCCAGTGCTATAAATCTGTTTTGTTTCCCTTCTGTTTGCAAAAATGGCAAATTATTTATTTTATTATCTGATATCACACCAATAACAAGAGGAGTTTGTTCCATGAAGCCCAATTATGAAAAATTGCCTGAGATAAAATGACTCACAGTGGACCTGTTTTTCAAGGCCCTGTTGCAAAGAAATATTTACCTGCTTGAAATGAGGAGAATTTACATTCGTGCTGGCAGCCAAAAACATCCAATCAGAAGAAAAAAGAGAGATAAAATGCCAGTCATTCCCAGTTGTTTGGACCGTTTTTGTTGATGTATGAAGCCTGGTTTCACCCTAAAAGTGGAAGTTTAGTTGCTTTGGCCAGTGGAGGAGGTCGGGCCATTGGGATGGGTTAGAGGACCCCCTGAAGTCCTTTCCAAACTGTTTTCCTGAAAAGCTGAGGACAGGTTTGTCCATGTTACTCAGACGTTTTCTGTCCAGATGTGAGAAAGAAATGGCTCAGATGGACTTGTTTCTTCTGGGTTTTGCGTTTTCATCATGTAGTAGTAAATTAGCTTAAAAAGCTACTGTCATTCCCCATGTGCGTGCGTGAGCTGTTCGTGGAAGGGAAATGTCAGTAATGTATGTCAGCAATAAGCTTAGTGCCTGACTTATTTTATTCAGTCCTATCCATCTGCAAACGGCCGGATTCCCTCTTGTGCAGCAATACAAAATGGAAGAAGCAGAGGTCAAACTTAGATGTAGCAGAAGATTATGATTTTTTTTTCCGTATTATCACCAGAGATGGATAACATCCTGATGTCTATTTTCTAATACATCCCCAGACCCTTCAGACTTTGGAAATGGCTGATGAAACGTGTGGGTTCATTAGCAGACTTCCATATCAGGCTGGAGATATTCTGAGCAGACGTACGTAGGCATATATACAGAGACAAGTCTATGGAGGGAATGACTAAGTCAGCCTGCAGCCACTTCAAAATGCTCTGTGCCATCCGGACCAGACTCCTGTACCTCCTGCAAACCACAGGGCTGAATTTTCCCTGTCCTGGCTGCTCATGGGTGGATGCTCATGGCTGTGCTGGCTGGGTGCCCTGTGCAGAGGGGGAAGGTGGTTTGCGAGGGCACAAAATTTTTCCTCTCTTGTCTTTTTTCCTCTCCTTTTTGTCAGTCAGTGTGTTCTTGGGAGAAATAAATGCTTTACGGCTGGCTGAAGTGGTTAATGTTGGTGAGTAATAGCAGAGGAATGTGACTATGGCTTACCAGGATGGGCTTCCATGGTGACCAGCGGAGGGGTGGGCTCTGGCAGGAGCACCTTGGTGGGAATCACACACGTATGCATATTTATACGTGGTATATTTGTATGTAGCTCTGTGTGTGCACATGTTGCGGGAAGGTTGTTCTGAAAATGCCTGTGATGGTCTCCTTTGAAGTCAGAAAATTGCCTTTTCTGTCTCCTTTGTATCTTCAAGACCAGCAGCAGATAAATCCCATCCTCCTGAAAAATTCATGTTCACTCCGGGAATTTCTTTGGCCTCTAGGCAGCACATTTAGAAATGTACTTTTAAAAGAAGAGTGAGAAAGACTTGCCGAGCCGTCTCTGAGCCTTGCTGAGGCTCCTGGCCTGAGGTGATCCTCTTCCCCCTGGCTTACCACAACAGCCCAGGCTTTCCGGCTCCGCTCAGGCCAGAGTTTGCCTAGGCTTTGCTGGAGACAAAGCCTTGATGCTTGATGCAGCCCAGCTGGGCTGGCTTGCCACGTGCTGTGGTGTGCTATGTACCTTGTGGTGCCTCTTGGAGATCCACCTGGTCCAAAGGGAGGTGCTGGAGACACCTCCATGGTCTTTGCTAGGTGTGGTGTCAGCAACTCTCACTGTTTGTGGGGGGGCTTCTTTGTGGGGAGTAAGAACGATGAGAAGAACAATTCCTGCTCCAAAAATTGCAGATAGTGAGAATGACAGAAGCCCTGGCTAACAACAGCAAGAGCACGCATCTAACGTAGGAATGTTATTGCCTGAAGCAAATACAAATCTGTGCAGAGAGAAACCAAAATAATGGTGCTTTAGCAATGATTCAGCGCCTCCAGGGTGCCTCTGGGTCTGGAGGGGGCCTGCAGCCCTGGAGGATGTCCTACGGACAGAATGGCTGCAGGGAGCTTAATTTTGGGGATTTCCACCCAGATGAAGCAGCAGAGGTGACTGAGGTGCTGGGGGTTGCACTGCCATGGACAGGCCGATGTCCTCTGCCACACCGAGCCTGCATGAGCTCGTGACAAGGCTGCTACAGGCCACAGATGAAGAGGATTTTCTAGTTTTTGATTTATGGGGAGAACCTCCCTAAGAAAAGCAACTGTCTTCTGTTCTAAAGGTTTCCTCCAACCCAGGGTGCTGGAGTAACTGTCTGGAAACTTCAGCTACCAGGGGATTTTTTTGGGGCAGTCTTATGTGTTACCTGACATAAGTCTGGTTTCAGAGGTGGTGAGCCAGTTTCAGCTGGTCTTTTATTCCATGTATCTTTCCATCCATCAGTCCCTTCTCCCCAGTAAACATCAAGAAAGTTCAGCTCTGATGGAGAGACCTCAAAGACGATGAACTCATGTGGGCATCGTGACACTTACTCTCTGGATAGAGACACGAATTCTTGTTGGTGCACAGTGACAGGTTGCAGTGTGAGCTCAAATATATGTGTAGCTTGGAAGCAGCTAGGCACTTGCTGTCCTTTCTTCTGCTGATAGGTAAGAGTGTGGCCAGATGCTGCTGGAAGTGTGGTGGTAGCTGGAGAGTGCCAACAGGTAGGACACTTCTCTGTGGAAAGCCAGGACTTGTTAATTCTGCTGCTTGCTGGAAAGTTGGATGAATTTTACTCTCAAAACAAAAATAATTAGTCTTTAAAAAAACAGAAGACTGGAAAAAAAAAAGATTTATATATAATAACAAGAATATTCTACACTTGTGGCTAAGCTGTTAAGAGGTAATGTGCAAGGCTGTTTTTCTCTTGGAGGCCACAAACTATTATGTGCTCCATTAATTATCAGCCTACTCATTTCCCTTCAGGGGTATCATAAAAGGCTTTCCAGGAGAGAGGTGGGCACTCCATTTTTGCTTTACTTGGGTGGCCAAAAAAGGTCAGAAGCGCTGTGGTGGCATCAGGCAGCTTTTCCTGAGGGACAGCTCAATTTCCACCTCGATGGTTTGCTGCTCTGGGCTGAGGGCAGGGAGAAGTTGTGCTGAGTTGGTAGCAGGGCAGGGGCAGCTGTGGAACCTGCTTTTTCCTGGTGGGGTCTGCAGGAAAGGGACTCCTGGCTGGCTCTCCACTTGGGATGGTGTGTTTATATTGTATGTATGTTTATATTGTATGTTTATATTTTTTATTTTTTAATTTTTGTCCAGGTGTTTGGGTGCTGTCATGAAACTCGTGCAAGGTGCAGCCAGCCAGCCGCTTACCCTGCAGCTTCACGTTTGGCTGCAGTTAAACACCTCGGCACTGCTATTCGGAGGGGTGAGCCTGTCCTCTCTGGGCCACTGGTGTCAGTGATATCTGTGCAGCTGCCAAGTGGAACAAGCTTCTGGACTGGCTCAAAACTGCCTTAAAAAAGAGTTTCCTTGCAAGCTGACCTGACTGACTGCATGGAAATGCCTGGCAGTGCTAGTACAAGGGAGGCAGTGAGTGTACCCAGCTGGCAAAGGACACTGCAACCCCTTACAGCTATGCTGCTGTCCTGTTGTGGCTTTTTCTGCCTCTGACTCAATGTATTTATCACCAGCCTTTGTCATCTTGGTCCTGCCCTGCCACAGCTGCAGCATGAGCCAGTATCAGATTCACTCGTCTTGGGGCAGGCTGGGAGGAGGGTGATGCTGAGACAGCTGTGTTACATGGGCACACCACCACTGCTGTCTTCTCTCTGCATCTGTACCCACCGCTTTTCTCGTCTCTTTCTTTTTTATCCATGCATCAGCTGCATTAAGCACTTGTTATTCTTGTTATTCCTGGCCATGGTGTCTGGCTTTGTCAGGTCGGAAGGCTGTTGTTCCTCATTCAGATAAATCTAAGTGTTAAAGCCAGATATAAAGAAAACAGTTGGAGCCCTCTTGGGCTGGGGTCCCTCAATTGAAAGAAACATGGGGTTAAACAATTACAAAAAGCTTCTTGCCACTGGTAGGGTTTGAGGAGGGGTTTGTCTGAGGCAGGGTTTCTCTGAAGAGCAGCAGGCTGATGTGCTGGGAGCCCCACACAAAGAGCTATTGCCATGCTCCCCGATGTTCCCATAAGCAGTCCTACACGTCTGCAGTGATGAGCGCGGTCTGATTCCTGTCTGGCTCATTTCCTCCTCTGTGTAAACTTTACTTTTCATGAATCCTCACGAGTTCCCAAAGTTTGCTTTCCGTGAGAATCCATGTGACCAGAACTGGATTATTTGCCTGTTTGAGAGAAGCAAACACAGCTGGAACAAATTCGTTTTTATTTTTTTTAAATCAGAATGAATATTTGTGAAAATATTTTTGGTTGTGTTCCCTCCGGTATGCCTTTTCTGACTGATACCTTCACAGAACTATAGAAAAACTCCATTTCATTCTTCTGATAAGGCCACTCCATGTCTGAGCTTCTAATTGTGATAAAAAATCTTCTTTGACAGGCCTGCCAATTTAAAAGTCAGCCTCAGTTTATTGAAATGAAAGAAAGGAATTGAACTTCAGCTCTCCCAGAGAATCATTCTTCTCATATCCCGAGCACACATTAGCTCTGGATCTCTGTGGAATACAATAGGAGAGAGGTTATTGAATTGAAGTTTCAAGCACAGAAGCAGATCTCTGGCCAATTACATTGTTGCTGGGGTTGAAATTGGACTAGTCAAAAAAAAAAAAAAAAGGATATCAAACTGCAAACCAAAGCAATGCAGAATCAAACATCTTCTGAGATGAAATGCTTCTCTGTCTGGAAAGGTGAGGGAACCGATACTGCGTTTTTTTGTCTTTAATATCTGTCTGTTCTTCCTGCTTTGCTTCCTGACTTTGTCTCCTTTTTGTGCCATAATCTCTATTGAGCGGCTGCTTAGAATTCAGTGATAGCGCCGAGTGTTTGATGTCGCTGGGAGAACTTCAGAGTGCTTCTGCCTTGTAATTACCAGGCTTGCTGAGGGGCAGCTGGGCAGCATATATAGCTGCTCAGCACACGTGCTGCTTCTGGATCTCGTAAGGTCAGCCCCGGGCACTGCCAGCACAGGCCAGAGGAGGACAGGCAGCACGTCAAACATCCCATCCATTGCAGTGAGACCAAGCTTCGTTCCTGAGTTGGTGATGACTCTGTCACACTCCCATTTCTGTTGGGATTTATGCTCTATTCTTCATATGAGACGTCGAGCCGTGATTTGCTTCAAATGTTCAACTCGGTGACAAGTTTTACTACATTTGCTTCCCTTCGCGCCGTACCTTCCCCCAGGCATCCTGTGCACCTCTATGCCAGACACACGTGTGCCATCTGGGAGGCAGCCCGTAGGTGGCCGTGGAGCCCACACGTATAGCGATCAGCTTCAAGATGCCTGCATTAATCATCAGATTGACTCCCTTGTGTTGCGTTTGGGAAGAAAGTCTGAATTGCTTAATTTGTCTAATTATTTACAGTCCTATTTATATCAAGTTTTCTGACACAAATTGTTTCTTCTGATGCAAAGTAAATGACTCAGTTTTTACAGACCTTTGAGTAGGGTGCCATCTGCGTTTCTGTTATCTCAGGAAATTTTCATTTTGCTATTCCATTCACACACCACCACAAATGTGAATTATGTGATGCAAAAAGCCACCATTGGGTCAAAAGTACCAAGATACAGGCAACCTCAATATGCTGAGATAAAATGTTCTTGGGGAAAAGAAAAAAAAAGACTCAATGACTTGCAGAAATGTCTGTAGCTTCAGAGGGTGTTTCTGCTCTTTGTGTCAGACAATGGAGAATTCAGAGCAAGTTGTCTGGAAGTTGTGTTTGTTCATTCAAATGAGAAATGAGATTGTGTCGCTCTAGTTTATACATTGATTGAAAAAAGTAATTTCAAGGTTCTCAGAACATTAACTGCTTTTGGACGTGCCAAGTGCTGAGGACCCAACTGTTCACACTACAGACACTTCAAGGAGGTTTACTTTCTTTTAACTGTAGTCTCTTCTCTTGGACTGAAAGGCCATCAGCAGTTGAAGCCCACCTTCTGGTTTAGCTTCACCCATAGGGAGAGCAGTTTGCTTGGTTCAGTATCATTCAGTGATGTAAATCAAAACAAGGTGAAGCAGAGCCCATCAGGAGACTGCTTCAAAAGCAGCCTCTGTTTCTCTAATGCATCCAGGTATTGCTAGTGATGACAACTGGAAGAAATTTTTCTGTCAAAATCATTTATTTGTGCAACGCAGGAATTCACATGAAATTAAATGATTTAGTGAAAGTCTCTCCTTTCCACAGAGGCTCTTTTCTGTCAAAAAAAATCAACTTATACTGAATATACTGAAAGGACTCAACCTCTGCCTTTCCTGGCAGCCCCAGCCCAGGACATCTTGCACCTCTGTGGGGATGGGGTGGGATGGAGGCTGGGTGGGACATCAGGGTCAGGCACGGGCATGGTCATAGCAAAGCGGCTCAAAGTCCACGTCTTAGAGATATTGGAGACTTCAGCCCCAAAAGCTGGAGGATTTTTGTGGGTGATGGGCACCAGGTAAAGTGTGATGGTGGCAGACTCAGCTTTTTCTGCAGTTTTGTGCTAAAACAGTAAAAAGAATGAGCTGGTAGGCTCCAAGGGAAGTGGCAAGGGTGTAGTTTGGACCTACTGTTTTCTGTGGATTGAGTTACTGTTACTATTTTAGAAGGGAAATTACTTGCCCGGGGCATGCAGAAAGCCTTAAAAGTCAGGGAGCAATGGGAATAAGTTCTTGCACATTTGGTTAATTGAGATGTTTCCCGTGATAGCTAGAAAATAAAACGGATCTTCTGTACAAGTCTAGTCAGCTGGGAAGGCAGTTGATTGAGATTGCTTACCAAAACAGCAAGATTTTGTCTGAAAAAATCATGAAGACAAAAAGGTTGGGTTGTCTGTTTTGATTTCTCACCGCCTGGGTGGTATTCTTCAGTAAGAGGCACTTTTTAGGTAGGAAGGGAACTTTTGTTTTAACGGGGCAGAAAGAGGGAAGCAACTAAAATGTTTTTAGGACTTGGTATACTTTAAAAACACGGGTTACCGTTAGATTTGTTGGAAGCTGGGAGCAATGATGGACAAGGAAACAGGATATGGTGATCTCCTAAATTAGCTCAGCTCCCCTGCATCAGAGTGCAAGTCTTTACCATCAACTATTAGGAGGAATTTACAACCAGGACAAATGGGGCATGCTTATTTCTTTCTGTGTCTTAATTAGTTACGATGACCCCTTCCTAAAGACATTACGGGATCCACAACAGCCTCCCAGCTAGGAAACCTTATCTCATATCCTGAATCCCTGGGGCTGGATGCTGAGCAGATTCATTCAGAGCAATGTTAAATGTGGCACATCCTTGTTTACTCTCTTGGCTTTTCACAGCGCTGGTGGGCATATGCATGGAAGTTTTTCTAATGCAGAAGGGGGGTTAACGAAGAACTTTTGGTCTGGAGTCTTAGGAAAAGTAATAAATTTGGACTTCTTTAGGGCATGGGAAAAGATCTTCCCCATGCAGGACATGAACAAGGTTTCACAATGGGAAAAAAAAAAAGGTATATGGGGGAAAAGGCAGGTATTTCTATTTTCTATATGGCTTTGCTAAAAGGAGCAGTATGCTTGGGTTGTGAGTAGATGTCCCACAGGAAGGGCCACTCCTGGCTCTGTCCAGAAAGACAGAGCTGTGCACTGGCCCGTGCAGTCAATATGTTTAGCAGCTCAGGAGGATTAAAACAAACTCATTGGATTTGTCACTTGCAGAGCTGTACCCAGCAGCCACATTTAATTTCCCAGCTCTCAGTGCCTGTAACCTAATTTCTACATCTGTACGGGGCGTAGGGGGAGCATCGGGCTCGGGAAAATCCTCTGTCAATTGAAACATCACTCAAAGTCTTGGGGCTGCAACAGCAGAGCGAGGCATCAGAGCAGCCGGGTGCTAACACGAGGATCAGCGCTCCATTTCCTTCAGCATGACCTGCTGCACTTCTCTCTGCTTTTGCAAGCGAAGGCTGAGCTGTTATCTCATCCATTGCCCCCTGCCCAGATGTTTCCACCTCCATGTGGTTTTCTGTGCTTGGAGAGGTTTGGGTTCCCTTGCCTTGGCTGGCTCTGCTGCCACCCCCCTCACAGCCCTGCCACGTCTCCCAGCTCTGTCTGCGTGCCCGTGCCCCCGGATGCCTCTTCCACTGGGGATTAAGCCTTTTGAATCAATGGAAGCACTTCTCCTCTCCACAGTTATCTCTTAGCCAAGTTAGATTTAATTACTTTAATCATTCCTCAACTCCTTCCAGTCCCTTGAGTCATTGTTGTTTGACTTTTGGGTTTAATTGCTTCCAATTTGTCAATGTTTCCGTGTTGTTTTGTGCTGAAGGCGCGTTCAGATACCTCAGGGCTGGTGAAGCTTTTCATGGTCTTCAAAATGGACGCCTTGGCTAGCCCATGGGTGGATGGGTTGAAGCTAACGAGGAGTTTGGGCTGAATCTAAAATGGTTGCCCAGGATTTTTCTTGAGACCTTCTGGGTGTCCATGCTCCCAGTGGCACCAGGATCAAATCTGAGGCTGCTCTGTGTGCAGATACTGGGAAGTGCTTTGAGTGGATGCTTTGCGTCATCTTATCCCATGTTGCATCGTATCTTCAGGGTTGTTTTTGAATCCTTCAGCCCCAGAGAGATGTAATTTGTTCTGGGTTCCTCTCTTAGCTGCTGTTTTTAGCCCTTGGGGTTGCAGGAAATGTCTTGAAAGTGGAGTCTGATGAGTGCTCCAAGATGAGCAGCACCAAGATGAGTGCTTTGTTCACAAACTCCTTGGTTTGAAACCAATCTTCCAGGCTTCCCAGGGCAAAAAGATGATGGGATCTCACTCCTGGATTTTCAATACCTTTCCTTGTCATTTCTCCCCAAATGGTGTATTAAAATGCAGTTCCAGCCTACACAGCAAGGATGGGATCACTTAATGTGTAGGAAGAGGCATGTCTATGAGAACAGGGAGGACATGGAGTGAACATTTCTTTTTTTTATATTTCTTTCCTTGCATCTTTTAATTTATTAAATATTAATATTTTATTGCATCTGGAAATTGACATTAGGTAGAAGAAATAGAATCAATTTTTAATAAATATGAGCAATAAATAAAACATTTAATAAATTATGCATAGCAAAAGATTACTGAAAGATTAAATAATGATCTTGTATACATACTCAAGCTATTATTTATTAATAGCTTTTTTTTCAGCGCAGCATTTATGACACTCGGGGAAAGTAGTTTTACCTGAAAAGTAAGCCAGGAGTGAGGGGAGCTGCAAGTTCTCATCTTTGCACCTCAGTGACTTTCAGATCAAATATTTCACGTTGAAGAGGAAAGAATATATTTTTTTCTCTTTGTCTCAGCCCTGGAAACTCTGTGTGTCCCAAACCTCAGTTTTTATCTCCTGCTAGCTGCCAGTAACCGTTTTTTATAAGCTAACCCTAATGATCCTGCTACTCTCTCCTAGAACATGTATCATATTAAAATTCAGGAAAGCCTGATGAAAAAGGCAGTGGCAGTCAGTTTAGTACCTATGGATTTTTGTTTTTCAGCTCTCTCTATATGCTACTTTTTCTGATACCACCTTTTCATGCTTAGGGATGCAGGTGGTAGCATCAAACCATTTGCATCAGATGTGTCTCCCCGTGGGTGAAACTGTCACAAGGCAATAAATATACTAGGGCTGACCAACGTATTTGCAACTAAACTTGTTTCTCACTGCCAAGTTCTGGCTTTCAGCAAATGCAGTTCAGTAGAAAACCAAAACCAAAAATGTTTTCTGCAGTACAGAAAGAGTTTTGCCTTCTAAAATCAAAACAGTTTTAAATCAGATTTTTAAATTTATTAATGAATATCTGATACACAATATGCACAAATGTAATTTTTTTCTTTTTTAGTTTTAACATATGTAGTTTTTTCAACAGTGATCAAAGGAGTGGGAGTTAAAAAATCCTTTTTTTTTTTTTCATTTTTTCCCCCAGGGTAAATTGTGTGTCAAGAAATTGTGTATCTTTTTAACAAATTTTTCAGATTCAAACTGCTCAACTGTGTGTCTCCTTCCACGTCTCGCTGTGGTGCTCGGCACTGGCAGAACAGTCTGGAGCAGCAGATTGGGGCCTGCTTTGGGCCTCCCAGAAAGTGGCCGTGTCTGCTGGCAGTCTGGCACCTCCTTTCCTTCCACTCAGAATTAGCCCTGGTGATAAATATAACTACTAATTATATTTTAACCTACATATTTTTTTTTTCTTTCCCTATATATTCCTTATTAGAGTGTTTAATTGGCAGTGGAAGTCTTAAAGGAAATTTTTTAATATATACTCCAAGCGCAAACACCTAGTGATCTGTAATAGTACCTTGATATCTCAGTGAAAAAAAGGTAAATAATGCAAGGACAGCCAGTGGCCAAACCTGACCAGGCTGTTTGCAAAGGACAGCAAGCCAGGCGTAGTTTTTTTTGTGATGCTGGGGCAAAAAGATGTTCCTGGTCACTGAGCACATCCTCCTATTCCACCCCAAGGAGGGCTTCCCTTTAGCATATTGCAAACAGAAAATAAAAGGCTGGTCCCACTGTGCATGGTCTCATGCACACTTCAATTACAGTGTGATGTAAAGGAGGGGAGAGGATTAAAAGCATAAAATCAGATTATGCCTGGGTGCAGCACTATGCAAGGGGAGACAGAGAGATTGGACCCTGCGCCAGAAGCTCGTCCTGTTAGCGATGCTGGCTGCCCAGAAAGCTCCCTGCAGTCTTTTTTGTTCCCATCCTGTTATTACGATCCTGAAGGAAACCAAACTAATAACAAAGCATTTTTTTTAGAGAGAGAAAGAGATTATTTTCTAGCCAGTTCAGGTTCCACATTGCTGGTGTCACTGAGCACACAGCTCACATCAAGATGAATCAGACAGCTGGGAGCCACAGCCCTGCTGCT